AAATTTGAACTTGACAATACGATCATCAAAGATTGGCTCATCTCCAATGTACAAGATAACAATCATTTCAGATATTCGTACAACAAAGCCTAATGATTATAAAAATTTAAGATAGTAAGCTTCCTTCTACTGAACGATCGAATATTTTTGATCATTGTCTCTCTAGCAAAAATTATGTCTCTAATCTGTTTCACCTGCTAATTCAGAAGAAATATTTCACGTTATCGTTATCGTATCACTTTATCGCTGTTATCTCCATACATGCAATCTAACGGTGATCTCTTCTCCGAAAAATTGAGCAATCATCCGTTTTAACGCATGACGCGAATCATCAGATCCATAACGCTTCGTACGATGATAAATGATCTGTGCTGGTCGTTCCGATACCTTGGTGGCACCTTCGTGTATAATGCGCGAACTTATCGTTGCTGTATGCATATATATTGCACCCGTGATCACATGCTTTCAATACAAATTTACGTTGATGATATTTACGACACGGTCAATTCATGTCATTGACGTGGATTCAGTACACGATTTGATGAAAATCCTAACGAAAATCCTAGCGATCCAATATTATGATTTGGTAAAATTTACTCGATGAGTGCATTTGATCTCACTCTTCATTGCATTGTTATTGGCATGAATAGTCAATGGGTACTCTTCATCCTCTTTTCAACGAAATGTTTTCTTTCCCACACATGGTTGGGACGAGTAAAATTTCACGTCTTAGATACTCATTTGTATCTCGTACGATCCTTCAGGAATAACAATTTCCTTGTCATCTTTGTCAAAGTAAACTTTATTATTTGATGAATTTACATTAGATATCGTAGGTTACAAAATCCATCAAACCGAACTCGTAATCGCCATCGCTCGAATCTCAAAGTAGCAGACCGCGAGGAGGCTACTTACCGGTCAGCGTAAATGTTAGTGAATGTTTGAATGAATATTAAGTTGAAACAGTGCAATGTCAGTTCTTAAATTGATCATCAACCGTCTGTAAAAACTATAAACACAGTTGTCCATAGTTACTTTGATCATAACATTGACAAGGCGTTTGATTATACATGATTTGCATCACGTTCAAATCGTACCAATTTCTTCGGTGGTCAAAGATTGTCGAAACTGTCAAAGTAATTAGCAGCTATCTCTTCGCTTCGCGTACGCCACCCAATAAATACCTGATGCATCAGCATTAATCAAATTTATATTTCCGCTCTCGTTTCGATATACTTCCACTGTTAGTAAGGTAGTACTTCTAAAAAATATTTCTAAAATAAGGAATATGTTTTACTAGTTGTTGCAGTTGTACATTGTAGTTACATCCTTTGGCATTGTAATTACACCCTTTGGCATTTTTGACATCTGTTTGATGTTTTTTTTTTAATCTTTTTTATTTTTTCCGTTAAGACTCCTCATCCGCGCTTGTACGGAGCGAAATAAATTCCATGACCTTCCATGGAGCGGTTCTGACCGAAATTTCAATTCTTCGATGTGACGTTGTGTTTTATTATCGTTAATAGCTTTTACTTCTGTCGCTGATCAACAAACCGAACTCCAAACAGCGATAGAATAGGTAAGATATCACCGCATTTTACTACTGGTAGTATTCGTTTTTTCATCGACTTTTTCTTCTTTTTCGTTTTCAAACCCATACCAATTTTAGCTACCCAATTAGCTGTGGCATCTCTCTCTCGAAGAGTCGAAGAGTCGTCTTTCGCGATAATCCGTTTCTGCACCTCCTCAGCGAGTATTTTGTCAGCTAAGTGTCGTTTTGTGAAATCTTTGCTCTGCGAATAAGCTATGTCGTGTTCGCAACACGCCGCGTCCAACGGATTAATGCCTCGATCGCCTCTAGTCAATCGCTTTTCTAAATACGTTCCTGAACCGAGAAATTAATATTAGGAATATGCAACTCGATTGGAAATGCGTTTATCGCATGATTTCAAAAGCCATCTTTTATTGCTGTTGACATTTGCTACAATTTCTTATAAATGACGCTGGATATAATATCCATATAAATGGATCATCAATATATGATCGATGGCAGGGCAAATTATAATGTTTCAACCACCAACCCATACTGTTGAACCTTTGAATCAACCTTCATATGCTCGGATAATCTATCCCACAATTGATCTATGTAATTCTCAATCTCTCGTAGCAAAATAATTTTTGGTATATATTTTAACTTTTTAGTGGTTAAACTATGTAGTCCGACACGATAAGAAGTTCGCTTTGCGCACTTCTATAAATAAATCCGCTCTTAACATCGTTTTTCAGTTTATATCAGTATTGTGGAGGGATGAAGGTATGAAGTTCGTGCGATAATCGCAAACGATCACAATAATGTCGATGACAAAATACAGAAAAAGTACTAAAAAAGAAATACACAAGCATGGAACATACTGCCGATTTCTATACGCAAAATCATTTGCGGCTCATCGAACTGTGGCAAAATAAACTTGTTGATAAGTTTACTGGAAAGTCCATACGGCATGCGTTTCGAGAACGTGTACGTGTACTCGAAGTCGTTACAAAAGCCAAAATATCGATACTTGGAGAATTTATTTGTTCCGATTGAAGAAATTGGTATTATTTTACATTCTCCAGTAATAGCAATGTTATTTCATCAAACGAGGCACTTCCAAATTCCATTTTTATCTTTGATGACGTAACATGCAACAAGCAAGACATGATAAGAGAGCAATGGGCCGCAGACGTCGATAGTTCTGTCTCTGTCAAATGTACGTAAAAGATACCGAAGCATCTTATACGTGATAATGCAAATCTGTTAAGCCTGTTCAAATAGGATAATACCAATCTGATATATGTATACAATGACCATGTAAACACCGACGTGTCTTCTGAGAATTTCTGCGAACTGTATGTTGTTGCTGTTGGCAATATGAAATAGTGATAGACAAAGACAGTGTGCTTATGAATGAGCGATATAAAAAAGGATTTAATGAATTCGCGATACCGTAAAATAATTAGTTATTGTTGATACATCAACTACGTAACATTCTCTCTCGAGTGCAACATGGACAACAATAAAGAGTTGAAGGATTATGAGAGGATAACGAAGCTAATTGCGAAAATGAGTGATTCGATTTGTAAAAATCGCGCTTTGAAAACTGGTAACATAGAGGAAGATATAGCATTGGAGAGGCATTTTAAATCTGTCATCGAATCTCTAAAACAGATTGTCGAAAATACCATTAGCGAGGAATCTCAACCGAAGAAAGAAATCAACATTGTAAAGAATAAAAATATTAAGAAGAAAAAACCTAGAAATAACGAAAATCAGAATAATAATGATGAAGATGATGGTGATGTCTTCTGAATGGATAATACATGGCTTTATTTAATGCCTAAAAAGCAACGTTCAAAAGAATGGAACGTTACTGGTGATTCATCCAATTATGTGTCACCAATCTCGCAAATTATCATATGAAAGTTCACATCCTCGAAAACATTTACGAAACGCCCAATGTTGTTTGAAACATTAGTTAAATAATCGTTGCAAACGCGATAAATTTGTGAGGAGTTAATCATTTGGGACCACTTGGATAAAAATATGTAAACATGCTTCTCGGTGGTGATGGAGAAAAGGCGATCGATTATGTTTATGTATATCTCATCGAGAATAGAACAATGCTCGGTAACAAACATTTCGATGTAGACATGAACGTGTTTCGTGAATTTGTCGCAGATAGAGTAAAGTACAAAGATACACGATTTGTATGAATTAATTTTCAAAAGAATTCCCGCTGACGCTATTTGCATAGAAGAAGATAAACTAAACTATAAGCGTATAAAAATATACTGGCAACGAATGCTTATTGGCGCAGTCTTAATGCGTATAATCCAATATTGGATTACACAAACAAAAGATACAAATATATAATAGCATCCTTGGTATCAGGTAAGATACAAGTTGGAATGGGCATCACACGTCAGGAATTTAACAAGTCATGTAAAAGAGTAGAAAAAGATATAATACTAATGCACCATGATCCTAAACGACAATAAAATCGATTATGATCATTGCTAACAAGCTTATGGATCGTCTTCAATTGCTTGAGGTTTTGCGTCAGGCAGATCACAAATCCTGTCGATCGAGGAACTTCGTGAAGCTAGTTTTATTATAATAAATTGAAATGGAGCAGTCATTTTAATCGACATCAAAATACTGATCGATAACGTTTGCGTAATATTTTGCAATTATTATATCATATTTCAAAAAATGTCTTATAAGATGTCTGAGGAGAAAAGTTTTGAAAAATAGAGACTAGTAGAAGAATTGTATACTCTAACGAAAAAAAATTTTCCACTCAGACATGTCATAGTTTATGGATGACCTGTAGCAGACTGATATGATCGAAATGTGCCCTTATACATGATTCAACAAAGGATATTACTACATTCTTGCTGTTAGATGTGTTAAGTAAATACCCACCATATCGCTCAAAAAGAATGGAAATGAGATGACTACAAAATGATTCACAAACACAAAAACAACTCGTAGAGCAATTGAGCGTTAATCAACAAGCTATTTCCAATCGCCTACGAGAGATGGGAAAGATTCAGAAAGTCGGCAGATGGGTGCACATGAGTTGAATGAGAGACAGATGGAGAGGCGCAAAAACACATATGCAATTTTGCTCGAACGATACAGAAGAAAGTCATTCTTGCATCGTATCGTTACTGGGGAAATGATGAAAAGTGGATTTTTTTGAGAATCCCAAACGCAAAAAATCATGGGTAGACCCAGGCTCATCCACATCGATCGCAAGACTGAATCGCTTTGGCAGGAAGACGCTCTGTGTTTGGTGGGATCAGAAGGGTGTGGTCTATTATGAGCTATTGGAGTCCGGCGAAACGGTTAATACCAAACGCTATCAACAACAATTGATCGGTTTGAACCGTTCGCTGCTTAAAAAAACGATCAGAATACCAAAAGAGGCAACACAAGGACATTTTTCTCCATGACAATGCTCTATCACATACGGCAAAATCAGTTCGCTGTTCAACAAGTGCGTGACCCATCGATGCAAACAAGTGGTAATCGGAAGGAGCCAAATCCAGTAAGTAAGCCGCATGCGAAAGTATTTTCCAAATGCCTCAATTGTTTCCTTGATCAGTTTTGCTGTGTGTGATGGTGCATTATCATGAAGCAAAATTACTTTGTGTTGCCTTTTTTGATATTCAGTTGTTTTTCACACAGAGCTTGATTCAAATTGATCATTTATCGATAGCGTTCAGTATTAACGGTTTCGCCAGGTTTTAGCAGCTCATAATAGGTAACATACCTTTCTGATCCCACCAAACACAGAGCATTTTCTTCCATCCATAGCGATTTGGCCTTGCAGTCAATGTCGATGGTTCGCCTGGAGTTACCTATGATCTTTTACGTTTAGGATTCTCAAAATATATCCATCTTTTCATCGCCAGTCATAATTCAATGGAGAAATGACTTTCTTTTGTACCTGGCGAGCAGCATTTCGCAAGTGGTTTTTCAGTTTTCCTGGTGTCTTTCATTCAATTCATGTGGAACCCATTTTCCCATCTTCTGGATTTTTCCCATGGATTTCAAACGTATGGAGATGGCTTCTCGTATCACATTCAAATGATCCGCGAGTTGTTGAGTGTGAGCGTCATCCTCATCCAACAATGCTTGCAATTCGCTGTCTTCAAACTTTTTTGGTGATTTTCCACGTTCTTCGTTTCTCACGTCAAAATCGCCATTTTTGAATTTTTTAAACCACTCAAAGCACTGTGATTTACCAAGAGCATGCTTACTGTAAGCTTCGACAAGCATTCGATGCGATTCTGCAGCAATTTTTTTCAAATGGTAATAAAAAATCAATGCTGTCCGCAAATCGTAGTTTCCAGGCACAAAATTCGACATGTTCAACGCTATTACAAACTATACTGATGTATGAAACTTGTATTGTTGTGAGTTGAAAATTTTTGTCAGATGTCACAACAAGGAAATGGCGCCGTCTGACAGCAACTCCATTGACAGCTATGGACATCTATTGATAAATTCCGGTTTCATATTTACATACCTGATATATATATATATATAT